TACTATCTTATATTTTACATTGTATTATATATATATATATATATATATATATATATATATATATATATATATATATATATATATGGTCACTAGCCAAAACATAGTAAGTCTCCTTGAAAAGTTATCTTGTCTCCAGCCAGGGCAAACAGTGCCATGGAAGCGCTCTATTAGAAAACCATAATTATTAGAACTTTTTGACTCGAAATGACACAGCAAATGATTTATCATCTTAAGCTTGGCAGCTCGTTCCCGGGCCCATTGCATGAAACAGCCTGTCGTCTCAACTTCATTGTTCACTTTTATATATATATATATATATATATATATATATATATATATATATATATATATATATACATACATGAATTATTCACACAAAACTAATGCAAGGTTAATGATTTAAATGGCGAGACATCCATCTCGCAAACAATTCAAATAGTACAAAAAACCTCCAGATCCGTTATGAATGAATTGATCCTTGTTTATATAAATTTCTGCCGTATTAGTTGTTATTTTTACTACAAGCTTTCGTCTGTTCCTACAGACATCTTCAGGTATATAATAGATGTTGTTCTTGTTTTTTTCTCTTAGTAATAACAACTAATACGGCAGAAATTTATATAAACAAGGATCAATTCATTCATAACGGATCTGGAGGTTTTTGTGTACTATTTGAATTGTTTGCGAGATGGATGTCTCGCCATTTAAATCATTAACCTTTGCATTAGTTTTGTGTGAATAATTCATGTATTTGTAAATTGATTGCACGTTTATTGTAATATATATATATATATATATATATATATATATATATATATATATATATAATGATGATAGGGAGACGGAAACTTTATTTATCCATTTCGTTTATAATTCTTATTTCGTGAACACCGAGATGTTCAACTCATCAGAACGAAATCTCATTCGATTTCATTCTGATGAGTTGAAATTGAGCGGAAGTAGGAGCAGAAGTAAGAGCGGAAGTAAGGGGCGTAATATACGGCTACAAAATTAGTTACATTGACAAGGTTGTTATTAGAGATTAAGTGGATGTGGGCGGAAGGTTTATTGGTGACAAAACAAACAGACGTTACGTCATAATACACAATCACGTAAATATGATAGAATATGCGCACGCAAATATACGGACGACAAATAAACAGACTCATCAAGATTCAATTATCCAAATAGGTACTGTGTGTCTGTGTATGCGTTTGCATGCGTTCTTACGCAGTTGATTGCTGAAAAGAGTTTCTTTTCAGCTTAGAGTGCATCGATAAAAACATTGTCTGTTCATTTGATCAGGTATTTTGTTGATGGACGGGCCGATGAATTTTCAGAGGCAGCACGTTTTTCATTTAAACATTTGTCTTGTTGATTACAAGCACGCCAGTTAAATCGATCTAATCAACGTATATGGATTAGTGAATAGAAAAAGGCTTTATGCTGAAAGAGGATAGTTTACTTAGATACAATGTAAGGCTGTCTGCACGCGCCTGTTGGGCGTAGGTGTTTCTTTTCGCCCAGTAAACAAACCGATTTAAATTTGATGATATTGATTCAAAGCAAGAAAAGAGAGACCCTACAAACTGCAAAACTTTTTTGAAGAGGATAGTTTTAATCTTGTGATGCTGAAGGGTATAATACCATTTCACTCTCTAAAGCGCCATTAGTTCAAACTTCCATAGCCAAGACCCACCTTACTATGACAAACTTTACTATGACACATCTTATTATGACCCACTTTACTATGACTCACTTTATGACCAACTTTACTATGACTCGATTTATTATGACCCACTTTACTATAACCCACTTTACTATGGCCGATCTTATTGTGACCCACTTTACTATGACTCACCTTACAATGACCCACTTTACTATGTCTCACCTTACTATGACCCACCTTACTATGACCGACCTTACTCTGACTCACTTTACTATGACACACTTCACTATGACCCATTTTACTATGGCTCACATTTATGGCCCACTTTACTATGATTCACCTTAAAATGACCTACTTTACTATGACTCACCTTATTATGACTCACTTTACTATGACCCATTTTACTATGACTCACATTTATGACCCACTTTTCTATGACTCGCCTTATTAAGACCCACTTTACTATGACTCAACTCACTATGACCGACCTTATTATGGCCGACTTTACTATGACTTACCTTATTTTGACCCACTTTACTATGACTCACCTTACTATGTCAACAGGTTTGAATAATGCTGATTTCCTACGTATTCGATTAGTTTGATTTTCCACAGTAAAAGGGTGGCAAAATTAGACATTTTCCCGTCTCTTGTTTCTCTAAGGCATTTTTTTTACTCTTTACCGTCCCTATTTCTCTTTGTATTCCTTGGGCTTACTTATAGTCATGTCGCGTTGAAACACTGGTTCGCATACGGCCACCGAAGTTAAGCAACTTCGAGTCTGGTAAGTACCGAAATGGTTGACCGCGTGCGAAAATCCGTTGCTGTAAGCTTACATGTTCGTGTGGTGCAATGAATAACGGCTCCGAATTAGAAATCGAGGAACCGAGTTCGAATTCCAGTCGGGTTCGTTATATTTACTTAGACGCATATACCCTTTGGCAATTGTGAAACGAAAAGAGACATGATCAACGAAGCTGTCACATCCGAACCTTACGAAAGCGCACAAGGGCAGCGTGATAAGGTAATGGCCTATCCCATCTTATGAATCTAAGGAGGACCTGCGTCTAACGTTGGACCTTCACAGGCGGAAGTAAATAGGGGTTTTGCTTGCTTCTCTTGCCTTAAGTTTATCATGTGAGTGTCTAATTCTTTAGACCACACGTGTCTCAGAAATTCCTCTTACATTTTTTTATCTATAAGTCCCCTTATATTTCCTGTAAGGATCCACTATTTACAATTTTCGGTCCAAGGTATTTTAACTATAAAGTAAAATGGCCATTGTTCCTATTTGAAACATGTTAATGAAAATTAAGACAAAAATAAAAAATAGAACTCTTTGTCAATTTTGAAAATATTAAATTATATTTTTTAAATTATATTTTAATTACTTTTTAAATTGTAATTTTTAAATAATTTTCTTAAATTATATTTTTTAAGTTATATTTTATAAATTATATTATTTTAACTATGTTTTTAAAATTATATTTTTTCAATTATATTTTCAATTATATTTTTAAATTATATTTTAATTACATTTTTAAATTAGTTTTTAAAAAGTTATATTTTCTTAAATTATATTTTCTTAAACGATACTTTTTAAATGGTAATTTTTTAAATGATATTTTTAATATATTTTTAAATTATATTTTTCAAATTACATTTTTTAGATTATATTTTCTAAAATTACATTTTCTTACATGACATATTTTAAAAATCATATTTTTTAAATTGTATTTTTTTATCCTTATAACATAACACGTGCCTGTTCTTTCTGTTTAAATCACTATTTTGTGGCTATTTAAATATATCATTTTTTTTTACTAGTTAATAATAATTAAGCAATCTAAAAATTAATTGCAAGCTTACGGCCACATCACGTTGAAACCGTCACATCACCTAAAATGGCTTACCTCTTGGGAATACGTGGTGCTGTAAGTTTGGATGTGCGGGTGGTGTAATGGATAATGACTCGGAATTGTTAATGGGAGACACGAGTTCCAGTTCCACACGTGTTCGTTATATTCACTTGGGAAATGTATGAAGCCACCTCTTCTCCCCACGCTATAGGTTAATAAGTAAGACTTATATCACTGTATCATTATTATTTCCAATAATAAAGGAAAATTCTGTTCTAAAAATATTTAGATTTAGGCATTAAATAATCCAGAGAGGTCGATATGCCGCTAAGCAAAGGCAACCAAAAATTAAAAATAACACTGATTGACTAAATCATGAAACCTGCGTACTTAATAACGTTTAAGAAGTCCATTGCATATGGAGAAATGTGATTCGAAAAGTACTGACCTGTTTGTCTGTAAATAGTTACGAAAAAAATTAACGTAATTCTGAGAAAAGCAAATATCTGCATATTGTTGGTATTTGACGGGTTATCTACAGATAATGATAAGACTAATTAATCTGGTTAATATTTCTACATACGGCTCAAAGCTTCAATCCTTTTTTTAATATTCTCCTGGCTAAGACGTTAAACTACATCCGCGTCCTGGGTAAGACGATAAACTACATCCAGCAGCAAGGCCTCTGATCAGGAGGTTTTTTGTAGCGTGGAACCACCTCTTAATTGCTGGTGTTCCCAGGTCCACTCTGATCCAAGGTGTTAGCAGCTGTTATGGTCCCAGCTATGGGCAAATAGTTAACTATTACCAGCAATACTTTTTTGAAAAAAAATTATTACCAGCAATACAATTTTGAAGGAAAAATATTACCATAAACAGACAAAACAAAATATTACCAGCAATAAAAAATGTTTTCGGCATTAAACAACCAATTGAGGTTGATATGCCGTAAAACAAAATAAACCAAACCAATCTAAACCAAAGAATACATATTCTATTCATACGAATTTATCCTAAAAATGTTGTCGGCATTAAATAATCCATTGAGGAAGATATGCCGTAAAACAAAATAAACCAAACCAATCTAAACCAAAGAATACATATTCTATTCATACGAATTTATCCTAAAAATGTTATCGTCATTAAATAACCCATTGAGGTTGATATGCCGTAAAACAAAATAAACCAAACCAATCTAAACTAAAGAATACATATTCATACGAATCTATCCTAAAAATGTTGTCGGCATTAAATAACCCATTGACGTTGATATGCCGAAAACAAAATAAACCAAACCAATCTAAACCAAAGAATACATATTCTATTCATACGAATCTATCCTAAAAATGTTATCGGCATTAAATAACCCACTGAGGTTGATATGCCGTCAAACAAAATAAACCAAACCAATCTAAACTAAAAGAATACATATTCTATTCATACGAATCTATACTAAAAATGTTGTCGGCATTAAATAACACATTGAGGTTGGTATGCCGAAAACAAAATAAACCAAACCAATCTAAACCAAAGAATACATATTCTATTCATACGAATCTATCCTAAAAATGTTGTCGGCATTAAATAACCCATTGAGTTTGATATGCCGTAAAACAAAATAAACCAAACCAATCTAAACCAAAGAATACATATTCTATTCATACGAATCTATCCTAAAAATGTTGTCGGCATTAAATAACCCATTGAGGTTGATATGCCGTAAAACAAAACAAAACCTTTTCTGATAAAAAATAAGCAGGATTTATTTTCATTTCCTTTCCTAAGACCATTTATTTTTATTAGATCAGCCTTATTTTTTTTTTTAGATCAGCCATATTATTAATTAGATTATTTTGCAACCCACTTATGCCTGGAAATCCTCACATTACTTAGTATTGTTGAATTTCTCGCCAACATTTTTGTTGATATTTATAAACTCTACGTTTCGTTCAATTTCGAAAACCAATCGATGAAATTTGAATTTGAACTGATTTGTTTGGAAAAATACTTTGACAAAGTCTCTACTTTGCGGTTAAATATTTTCTTTAATTTAATTTTATAGGGCTTCATGATAAATAATACTTTTAAAGAAAATTTCTTTTTTGCCTTTTTTTTTCTTTTTGAGAGCGAACAATGGATTCTTAAGATTTCTTACTCTTGAACATACAACATACAGCTGACCATGCATAAATATTTCTTTCTGGAATCAAATTCTAACTTTTTTTGAAGCGTTTGCCCTCCTGATTTGTTTATAGTTCTCGCAAACGCAAGGCGAACTGGAAACTGGATTGTTGTATATAAAAATTTAAATGATATGCAAAAAACAATATTGCATTTTTATTAAATAAATATTTATTTTAATCATTAAATTGTTTTAGAAATAGTAGTTTACATGATAAATAATAGAACTTTTACTTTTTTCAAAATAATTAATAAAATTTATTATACAGTTTAACCCGGATATAAGAGACCCGGATATAAGAGAAACCCGGATATAAGAGAGATTTTCTCTGGTCCCAAATTAGAGCCTGTGTTAATGTATATAAAATAGACCAAACCCGGATATAAGAGAAACCCGGATATAAGAGAGATTTTCTCTGGTCCCAAATTAGAGCTTGTGTTAATGTATATAAAATAGACCAAACCCGGATATAAGATAAACCCGGATATAAGAGATTTTCTCTGGTCCCAAATTAGAGCCTGTGTTAATGTATATAAAATAGACCAAACCCGGATATAAGATGAACCCGGATATAAGAGAGATTTTCTCTGGTCCCAAATTAGAGCCTGTGTTAATGTATATAAAATAGACCAAACCCGGATATAAGATAAACCCGGATATAAGAGAGATTTTCTCTGGTCCCAAATTAGAGCCTGTGTTAATGTATATAAAATAGACCAAACCCGGATATAAGATGAACCCGGATATAAGAGAGATTTTCTCTGGTCCCAAATTAGAGCCTGTGTTAATGTATATAAAATAGACCAAACCCGGATATAAGATAAACCCGGATATAAGACAGATTTTCTCTGGTCCCAAATTAGAGCCTGTGTTAATGTATATAAAATAGACCAAACCCGGATATAAGATAAACCCGGATATAAGAGAGATTTTCTCTGGTCCCAAATTAGAGCCTGTGTTAATGTATATAAAATAGACCAAACCCGGATATAAGAGAAACCCGGATATAAGAGAGATTTTCTCTGGTCCCAAATTAGAGCCTGTGTTAATGTATATAAAATAGACCAAACCCGGATATAAGAGAAACCCGGATATAAGAGAGATTTTCTCTGGTCCCAAATTAGAGCCTGTGTTAATGTATATAAAATAGACCAAACCCGGATATAAGATAAACCCGGATATAAGAGATTTTCTCTGGTCCCAAATTAGAGCCTGTTTAATGTATATAAATAGACCAAACCCGGATATAAGATGAACCCGGATATAAGAGAGATTTTCTCTGGTCCCAAATTAGAGCCTGTGTTAATGTATATAAAATAGACCAAACCCGGATATATAAGATAAACCCGGATATAAGACAGATTTTCTCTGGTCCCAAATTAGAGCCTGTGTTAATGTATATAAAATAGACCAAACCCGGATATAAGAGAAACCCGGATATAAGAGAGATTTTCTCTGGTCCCAAATTAGAGCCTGTGTTAATGTATATAAAATAGACCAAACCCGGATATAAGATAAACCCGGATATAAGAGATTTTCTCTGGTCCCAAATTAGAGCCTGTGTTAATGTATATAAAATAGACCAAACCCGGATATAAGCCTGTATAAGAGAGATTTTTCTGGTTCCAAATTAGAGCCTGTGTTAATATAAAATAGACCAAACCCGGATATAAGATAAACCCGGATATAAGAGAGATTTTCTCTGGTCCCAAATTAGAGCCTGTGTTAATGTATATAAAATAGACCAAACCCGGATATAAGAGAAACCCGGATATAAGAGAGATTTTCTC